TGCATGATGTTCTTAATAACACGATTTGAATACCCATCAAATCCAGGACTTTTGTTTTCTTTCATATTATTAATAATGATAATTATTTCATTTCCAGTCACGGGATTCAAGTAAAAAGAATTTTTAAGTGAAGTGTAAAGGAAAGATTAAAAATTGGAATTATGGGAAGATTGTTCAATACCTTGTACGAGTTTAAGACCAACATTAGTAAAATAAGTGTTAAAATGTTGCGCAATAAGTGAGGGTTAGTAATTTTCAAATTATTTATAAAATAATAAGATGGAAGATTGGGTTTAGTGTTTTTTTTCCTAGAATACCGTTAATAGTTTTGCATGTCTTATGGATATTGTTAGCCTTAGCGTATTGATTAATTTTATTGGTATAATAGTTTATACAAGCAATACGAAGCAAACTGGTTAATTTATTTCTGAATTTAGTATAGGCCTATTTCACTTTATGGAATGTAAGGAAATAGATAGTGCTTTTCCTTTGTTGGATCGATTGTAACTCCTGATTGTAGCAACTCCTAAACGAATGGCACTTCAGAAATACAGTCAGTATATCAATTATTCTTTCAAACCTTATTCTATCGCGTTGTTTGTGTTTTAAGTTAACTTTATTTATTTATTTTTTTAATTTTTTATTTTTTTTAAGCGTACAGGTTTGGAATATTTTTAAAATCCTTAAGTTAAATTATTTAAATTTTTCTTTTTATTTTCAATGGAAAATAAACGCGATCGTTAATATCGATCTTGGTACAATGTAAACCTGTAATCATATGACAATTATACAGAATTTTACTATATTATAGGCCTAGACTAGGACCAGGCCTCCTACTATAATATAAAGGCCTAGTCCAAGACCTTGTTGCAATTATCCCTGTCCTCATAAGCCTATCCTATAATGCCTAGCATAGGGCTCGTGATCGCGGTACCCTAACCATTAAAAATTAGCAGACGAACTGGGAATCGTTGTTCACGGCATTGGACTGCAGCGAAAAATTATTCCCCCATCATTAACGGAACAGGCCAACGTCACGCTTGGCTGACTAGTTTTGATTTACATTTCGCAAGTTTAGTGCCAGTGTGACCACTGCTTGGGTATTTACCCAAGATCTTGGGTATTTTGACTTGGTCTTGGGTTCTTGGGTATTCCGTTCAAATCCTTGGGTATTTCATTTTTACTAAGAAAATTAAATATTTTTGTCATAGACGAAGAATTAAGAAGTAACAAAGTATATTTCAGTCACATTCAAGTAAGCAAAACTCAACGAAGTGCACATTGTTAATTGACTGTTAATTGCTATAAACATGGGTTCAGAATTGTTTATTGGTGATTTGCGTTGCCATTGATCTTACCTAATTAATGCATTACATAATAATACCTGATCACTGATCTACTGATAACACTGGCCGACTGAGGGCGTATTTTTCTATCCGTATTATACAAGTGACGTTTTCGATAGACTGCTGGTTGATAGTAAGTTTTATAGCTTGACTACGTCTGACTTTTTGAGATGATCCTATAAGCATAGCCTTTGTTTTTTATATTTAAGTGTAATTTATTTGCAGAGAGCCGGGGGAAAAGATTATTGAGATTGTTATTGAGATTTTGTTGAATAAGGACAGATGATTTATTGGCTGTGTAAATAATGGTGTCGTCAGCGAACATGTTGGCAGAGCAATCATCAGTTAAACAGTTAGGGAGATCATTTATATAAATGGAGAAAAGAAGGGGACCAAGGATAGTACCTTGGGGGATGTCTGTGCAAATGGGAAGAAGGGAAGAAAGAGAACAGTTGAATGAGACGCGTTGAAAGCGAGATAGAGGTAGGAATCGAACCAGAAGGTAGTTTTATCAGAAAGGCCAAAGAAAGGAAGTTTTTTGAGCAGGATAGAGTGGTTAGTAGTGTCGAAAGCTTTTTGTAAATCGATAAAGACAGTGCCAATAAGGTTTCCGTGATTGATGTGTTGAAGCCAGGTGTCATGAGCATTAATAAGAGCAGTAAGAGTAGAATGACCGGGTCGAAATCCAGATTGTTGTTCGGAGAGAAGTTTATTAGAGTTAAGGTAATGGTAAAGTTGAGAATGAATGGCTTTTTCGAGGATTTTAGAACAAAGAGGAAGAACAGAAATAGGACGGTAATTAGAAAGTTCGCTTTTGAACCAGAATTTTGAATTTCGAAACAGTCATTGGGTATATCAAAAATTGTGAGTGGTCACGCTGTCTAGTGCCATACGCAGCAAATGTCCATGTCTAGTGTTTGTTACATTTCAAACCACTGGCTGGTTTTTGATTTACGTTTTGGTATAGAATTTGGAGAGGGCGTTTGATCAAGTCAGACCTACGTTTTGAATTTGATTACATTTTAAAGATATTAGAACTACATTTTGGAAAATTTGAACTACGTTTTAAAAAATTAGAACTTCATTTTGGGAAACTAGATCTACATTTTGAGAAATTTACGCCTACGTTTTGATAAATTAGACATTGAATTTTGCAATTACATTTTGATTTTAACATGGATTTTGCTGCGTATGGCACCCCCATATTCGCTTGCCTTCCCGAGTAAAATTAAGCCCAGTGAGTGTCCATGGTACGAGAGTTTGCGCTAATGCTACATGTCATACAGAGGCCTACTGGTCTTCCAATTCCCCATATATGATAGGTAGATTTTAGCTCGGATGTTGGAAATTACAGCAGATGTATAAGGTCCTTCATATAAGATACATGATAATTCGAGAGCGATGCGGAAGTGAACCACAACAGGGAGGTGTTCAGTGATTTGGGCAATCTAAAAACATGTGTTGAATGGATCAGTAGTTTACTTTCTTCTGTACATTCTTTGCTACTGATTGTACCGTGTACTGTGATTTTCAATTGACGTTTAAGTACTCGGCTTTTTGAAATAATAATTTTCATCAAAGTAAGCAGACAAATTCTTTAAATTAAATATTTTGTGTGCTACTGTAATGGACATTATAGGCCTAACCAAAGCCATGCAAAGAAAGCAAACAAAACACTTGTGGGTGGATTATGAATTTAAATTATGTGTCCCAGCCATTGTAGAATGAAGATAAATACATATCAAGTGACGGGTTTTTTTTTTAAGGAATTGAGCAACACGGTTTCCTATGTTTAATACTTTGGATATTCTAACATAAATTCACGAATTTCCCCATCACTTTTCCCAAAGAACTTTCCATACTTTTAATTTCCCGAAGCTTTCTTCTTAATATACCACAGATTACAGACAAATATCGTTTAGACCACTCGCTCTATTTAATAATTGAACTGCACTACAAATACTTCCTAGTAAGTGGAGAAGTTTGCACATTGATTATGGTCTTTTGTGTATTGTATGACAAGGCTAATAATATTGTTTGTTTTTTTTTTTGATTTTCGTTTTCTACTCTTTTATGACTATAATTATGCATATATGAAGGATTATGAATTGTGCGATATGACGATTCTCTTTTATGTGTATTCACTAACACATACACATAAAAGAGAATCGTCCAGAATATCGCACAATTCATAATCCTAATATTATTAGTCTGATATTCAACAATTTTTACAATAGTGAACCTACCTTAAACTTGTTCTGTTAGGCATAACAAAATTGGATTTGCCCCCAATTTTATTGCTTGCACACAATATTGTTTGTAGAGAAGAGGGATTACTTACAAATCCAATTACTGCATTCTTTCACAAGACCAAATAATAATTGTCCCAATTAACATTCTCCCTAAGCCCAAACTCGTCAACAATGTAAAGACCTCTGTTTTACTTTAATATCCCTGCATGGTTTTATATAACTTTCATATGAGGGATGGACAAAATGTGACAATTAATAAAATCCACGATAATTTTGCAAATTCTTTCATTTAAAGTCAGCCAAAGAAGTAAATATTTTCAATAATTAATTAAAATATGTGTATTATGCTTATAATCATAAAATAGTTATTTAATTTTAATAATTTTTATTATTAATTTTTAATAATTTTAATGATTTAATTTGTAATTTTTAATTCACTTAATTTTTATTTTGTTTTATTAATAATAATAATAATTATTATTATTTTCCTTGTAACTTGGGTTAAACATTCCCGAAAGTTTTATTCGGATCACTTGACCCGTTTTTTAAATATCTGGTCTAGGAAGTTTTCCTTTAAATGATCCTAAGATCCACACCATACTGCGGATCGTCACAAAAATTTAATCATTTTTTTACAAGACCTTTACAAAGTATTATAGAATGCTTATTTAGACCCATTGGTTTTTTAAAAGAGATATTTAGGTCGTGGTCCTCAAAAATTGAAAAGACCCTCAAACTTACACCTTTCACTAGATCGTCACTAACACATAAAATTGTCTTACTTGTAACTTGATTAAACTTTTCCGTAAGTATCATTGAGATCAACTGACCGGTTATTGAAATATCCGATGTAGACTGTTTGACCATAAATCACTTTAATTGGTCCTCACACGCACACCCCATCATTGATTGACACTAAATATTAGGAGGCACATCTTTGATATATGGCCTATGATTCGGCAAAGCACGGAAAAATTCTAAGCATGGAAAGTGACCAAAGTGACGGCCAGAAAAAAATGCAAAAAGATAGGAAAAATATATGCAAGAAAAAAGAAAAAAAAATCAAACAAAAACAATGCCTTTTCCCAGCAGCACTGGGAAAAGCCATTAATAATAATAATAATAATAATAATAATAATAATAATAATAATAATAATAATAATAATAATAATAATGATAATAATAATAAAAATAATAATAATAATAATAATAATAATAATAATAATAATAATAATAATAATAATAATAATAATAATAATAATTATTATTATTATTATTATTATTATTGAAGGGAGTTAGCCGTTAACACTGTTGAATAAATATAATATAAATCATCATGATTTATATTATTATTATTATTAATAATAATAACCACGCTTTATTAAATGTATGGTTGGTGCAGATGCACATAGCAACGAGTCTAGGCTGGTAGAAGATCTGCTGGATAACTACCCTAATTGGAAATCTGCTAGGCCAGTTTTAAATGACTCTGATGTTGTCGTCGTGACCTTTAGCTTCGTTTTAACAGAAGTCGTTAATCTGGTAAGTGGTACATATACAATTTATATAGTGCTCATTTAATCAAATTAAACAGATTTGTCCATTATTATGTTACTGTATGTTTGGCCAAGGTGCAAGTTGAATGTTTTTATGTGTGCCAGGTAGGGCATAAGTAACACTACCTACATTATTTATATGTTTAAAAGCTCTTTTTCAAATAGGACCTCTTCTTAGGTCCAAGTAAAAGTGGTATCAATAATGGTCAGTTTATTTTCATGCTATGTTTCAGGACGAAAAACTTCAATCTATAACCGTCAACGGGTGGATGACTGAGGTAAGTCTGTTTTCAATGTGGCTGCTCGAAACCCATGAAATGTGTTTCTAAGTATCTTCAATGGGAAGCCAAAAGGAAGTAAAACCAACCCTATCGAAGTCGGCCCAGTTGGTGAATAGTTATTATTGTATTAATACTAAAATTAGAAAAACAAGCAGAATAAAAAGCTGAGAAAAAGTATTTAGATGATTAAATAGGCCTATGTAATTTTAATTAACATCGATTATAGATAAATAAACTAAAATTGTAGAAACTATCAATCAGATGACATAAAACAAGTATTTTTTTAAAAATAAAATTACTATCTACATCGTACTAGGTCTAAGCTGTAAATCATAAATTTTCGTGAAAAATTGCCATATTTCGGGTGTTTAATAAATGACATTAGATTATTGTGGAATTATTAAATGAGTATTATTGTTCTGTAATCAGCAGAACAAATAAGTGTGGTCCAGTGATAGCGCCAGGATCTGCCCGACAGGGGGCTACAGGCTCTGACGGTGGGGTGGGGTGGGGGGTAGGTGAGCGAAGCGACCCTTACTTGGCTGGGGGATCAGCCGCCTAGAAACCACCGGTGGGGGTCCAGGGGAGAATCCCCTGAAAGCTACGGATATTTGACGAATTTTGGTGAATTTTTATTAGTTATTTGATAGGCATCAAGCTACCGTAATGTGACTTGTATAATTTTTAATGTCGAAATTAACTTCACAACTGAACAATTTTACGTTGTGGCGCGAAAAAACAAAATAGGCCTATATCGAGTTTTTATTTGCATTTATTTAGAGTTGGCAGGATCAACTTATGGTATGGAACGCCTCAGACTACGGTGGGATAGATATAATTAAAGTTCCCCTGAATTCAATCTGGATTCCAGACATAACACTCTACAACAAGTAAGCCCCTTTTTATTATTATACTTCTATATGTGTTTCATACTTATATGAAAGTGAATTTAGTACTGAGAAGTCTTACTTTTGATGACATAAGGAGTTTTGGAAAAAAAAAATTTTCCACGTTAGGAATCAAGCCCAAATTGATTCTATTGCCCTTTAGTGCCTGCAGCAAATGACCTTAGGACTATTTAGTGAACATAATTAATAACAATGATAAGCGAGGACGGGTATGGAGCAACAACCTAATGTTAATGACAGGTTTAATTTTATTTTGTATAATGTAATATGTATCTTAGTGCTTAGTGACCGACGCTTTTCTTTCAGTGTGGACAAGGGCTTCGAACGTACCAGGACCGATTTGCCATTATCCATCACGTCGAAAGGTGTTGTTTTTATGACAACACCGGCTATCTACACCGCATTTTGCAAGTTGAATGTGAAGTATTTTCCATTCGACAAGCAAGTTTGTTATTTTTTGTTTGGATCTTGGACATACTTTAGCCATCAGGTCGACATGAAAATTACACGGACAGAGGAAGAGATTAATTATGATTACTTTATCGAAAATGGTGTATGGGACATAGAATATTTAAAATTTAAGAATAAAAAAACCGTTTACGCTTGGGATCCACATCCATATACTAATGTTTATATGACAATTGGTTTGAGACGTCGCTCAAAATTCTATGTCAGAAATATTCTAGTGCCTTGTATTTTGCTTTCATTTCTTGCCGTCTTCGTATTCATCTTACCTCCAGAATGCGGAGAAAAAATATCGTTTTCCATCACCAATTTGCTAGCAATTGTACTGTTCCAACAACTTATCAGCGAGACATTGCCGCCCTCTGACGATTCCCCTATTATTGGTGAGTTCAACTGGTTTATTGTTTATGAATCTTTGAATACAGTGAATAACAAGAAAACAAACAATGCTATATTCCTATTTTCTTTATGGAAATCAACGTCTTTAAAAGCTTACTCGTTGGTGGCGCTGTCCAGAATGAGAGAAATATTATATGGGACTTCTGTTAGTCAGTACACTGGACACAGACATAGGAGGACGCCCGTTGCCAACTGTCTTTTTTTGATTACCCAGAAGTACCGCCCGCTGTTTGTTTATTTGGTTATACCGAATAGCATATTAAAATAATTATTATGTACTGTAGATTTATATAGCGCTTTATACCTCAAGTCTTAAAGCTCTTGTGGTGTGGATAGCTCATGCAATAGCTTTCCCCTCATTAAGGGCGTCGTATTTTTTAAATAATAATATAAAATATTTGATATAATTATTACTGTAATCTTTGTAGTAAACAAATATGTTGGATAAACTGAAAACAATCCTTGGATAAAATAACGCAACATAGATCAGATATCAAACACAAGTTTGATCAACCAGTAGCCGAACATTTCAATTCAGCTGGTCATTCAATTAACAATTTAGATTACATAAAAAGGCTGTTAATAACGTAGCACAAAGAGTGGCGTATTTAGGAGTCTTGAAATGGGTGGGGGGCGAAGGCGGGTTTGGGTGGGGTGCTCGGTGATTAAGTGAGGGACGCTAGGTCGCAAAATAATGTGGTATGAGGTGATGTGTTACTACCTGAGCGTCATTTTTTGTTTCGGACATTTTCAATAGGGAGGAGGAGGAGGCGACTAGGGGCTCAAGGATTTCTTAGAGGGCGTGCACCACCCCGCGCTTAATTCAAAGAACTCAAAGTCCTAATTAAAATTTTTGTTCACTTTACATTTTTTGATTAATTCCCAGTTAATTTAATCCATAATGATTATTTTTATCTACTCAGCAAATTTCATTAAATTGATTGTCGCTCTTGGATGCATCTCAGTTATGGCAACATCGATTATTCTAAAGTTTCACTTCGGACGGCACGGAAAGCCTGTGAATAAATTCATTTACAGGATATTCGTCAGAGGTCTAGGCTCGGTTCTTCGTGTGTATGAACCGGATTCTGAAAGGCAACGCATGCATTCTAAACAAGTTGAACTGGTGTATTACCGTCCGAAGATGATTGCAGTTATTAGCGACAACGAAGAATCAATGTCACCACATCAAGGGTCAACCGAAACGAAAGAGATGGCAGACATCAGAAAGTCTAATTTACATTTTTTTTATTAATTCCCAATTAATTTAATCCATAATGATTATTTTTATCTACTCAGCAAATTTCATTAAATTGATTGTCGCTCTTGGATGCATCTCAGTTATGGCAACATCGATTATTCTAAAGTTTCACTTCGGACGGCACGGAAAGCCTGTGAATAAATTCATTTACAGGATATTCGTCAGAGGTCTAGGCTCGGTTCTTCGTGTGTATGAACCGGATTCTGAAAGGCAACGCATGCATTCTAAACAAGTTGAACTGGTGTATTACCGTCCGAAGATGATTGCAGTTATTAGCGACAACGAAGAATCAATGTCACCACATCAAGGGTCAACCGAAACGAAAGAGATGGCAGACATCAGAAAGTCTAACCAGCAGTCCAATGAACAGAAAAAGGAGGAAGAACTAACAAAAACATGGATGGACTTGGCGCATGTCTTTGACAGATTAATGCTGATAATATGTTTGCTGATTTTCGTAATCACATCCGTCGTGATTGCTGTAATGATGCTGGAAAATAAACCTTAATATAATGCTAACAATTAATGAACATAATTGAAAATTAAATAAGGGTAAACTTATCTGATATATGATTATGATTATATGAGCTTTCCTGGAAACGAGATTCAGTAGCGCTCCATCGCTCTCTGGGATACCACCTCTAGGTTTAACAAACGAAGCAATTCAAAACAAAAGGGCATGCCACTCCCTCGCATGTGCTACCCTTCTGTGTGGGATTTGAATCTCACCTCCAGGAAAGCTCGTAATCATACTAATACATCAGGTAAGTTTACCCTCGTATAATTTTCAACTATATTTCGCTTTCATTACGGCTTAGATTCAATGTCGACTTTAAAGCGTAAGAACTGTTCCCAGCCATGAAGCGCCATTAAATCGAAGCCGTAAGGAAAGCGAGCTAATATAATAACAAATGCGAGTGCTTTGCTTACGACGAGGCGTAAGAATAATTTAGACTATGCTTACGCCGATGTATTAAACATGCGCATATTAAGCTTGGTTTCCATACAATAGCTACACAGTCGCTACAGCGTTTTCACTGCAATCCTTGCACTGCGTAGCTGTTTCCGACGCATTCGGGAACGCCCCCTGATACAACTGACCAATCAGCGTTGCCAGGGGAGTCGGCGATAGCGTGTAGTGATTTTTATGGAAACCAGGCTTTAAGCGTTCCCGATTGCGTCGGGAACAGCCAGCTACGAAGTGCAAGAATTGCAGTGAAAATGGTGTAGCGACTGTGTAGCGATTTTTTTGCAATCAGGCTTTAGTGTAGCTAAATAATACTACAACTGTCCATTAAGCAAATGACGCACTAGCCACAATTCTTCACAAAGTTCACTGCCACCTTGAAACACCAAGGTTATACGTTTTATTTGTATATAAGTAGAAATTAATAAATTAAATTCTGGATAAGTACAGCAAAGTATACTTAATTTATTTTAAGTACAACTCGAGTCTTAATATACAGCATTGCATAATTTTAACTTCAATTTATAGTTTAAGCACATTCAAACCCTTTAACCATCAATTATATTATACAGATTCTTGAAAATTTAAATTCGACGTTTACCCCCAAATTTTATTTATTTATTTTTGCACTTTTACCCGTTTCTGTTTTACTTATATTTTAAATGGTTTTAAATACTTAGCTTAAGATTAATTGATTTTAATTTTCACGGTATATTAAATAATATGCTTTGTCGTATTTTTGTATATATGTGTCGTTTTTTAGTCAGTGGTTTTATAGTTGTATTGTGAACGCACGGCATGACGTGTGCCGCACTGATTTAAAAGTGAAGTTTTGCTTGTTTTATTTAATGTCTGTAATGTAACACTAATTATATTTTTATCTTTATGTACATTTAACTTATTGCTTAAACACATGGATCTATATTTCGACTGTATCATGTTGTTTTGTCGACAATAAATATTCATTGATTCCTTGAAATCGTTCTTTTGCAACATTTCATTTGAATTAAAAAAATCATCACCTTTATACAGATGAAACCAATCTCTGGTTCTCGGATGACATTGACAATATTTCTCTGACCACTTTTCAAAATATACCCTAATACGGAGGTTCTACTTCTTCTAGTTTACAGAACTTTGTTTTAGTCAGTCGCAATCATCAAAGAATGCACAGCGATATTTTTAAAGGATAATCAAGCCTGCTTGAACATTCGACAGTTCCAGTAGGTCTAAATCAGTTGCATTATATTTTGGCGTTCTGTCTATATTTTAGGCAAGAAATATATCCGATTTCTAAATTTTAAGATACTTTATTTGAAAATATATATACCTATGAAACCTCCATCAATGTTACACATGTTAGATAATTTCAATTTAATGAAAGTAAATGGTAAATCGAATAAGATAAAAAAAAATCATCGAAATAAAAGCACACTTATGTTTGCTAAAATATTTTGATTTAAGTCTATCGAAATTAAATCATTTTGTGGTGTTTAATGAAATTTTCAATTTAATGAAAGTAAATGGTAAATCGAATAAGATAAAAAAAAATCATCGAAATGAAAGCACACTTATGCTTGCCAAAATATTTTGATTTAAGTTAATCGAAATTAAATCATTTTGTGGTGTTTAATGAAATTTTAGTTAACGCGTGAGTTCAAGAAACGTATTTAGCTGTAATTAATTGGGTTTTAACGACATTAACCTCATTTTCTAAAATACTGTCAGCAGTTCCAATAGAAGAAGAGCCCTAAAGGCTTTAGGCTATGGCTTCTTCGTGCCCTAGGGGTTTCGGGCACTTTTTTACGTGACAATTTGACTCTTTTTTTTTATAAACTTTTGAATCTTGATTTGGGACCCATGGTTCTGGCCAAAACATGCTGGTCTCGGGGCTCCTGGCTTTAGCCAGTCGTAGCTCATTGATGTGACGCTAGTGGGTTGAAATTGGATGTAATTGATTTTGGCTGGGTATGAAGTGACCTACCCCCTCACGCAACTTTCAATGTCAACCTTGTTATTTCTCTATCACCACCAATTTATTATCATCACTTGTGGATAATATGAATTTATCATAGATAGTGTAGGCCGAAGTTTTTTTTTTTTTTTTTTTTTTTTTGTTTCATAGAGGGTTTTACTACTCGGCCAAAGGCTCATCTTGGAACGGTTATAATACTTTACAGTATTAAAACAAGTGATAACATAACAACTTTATGGACATCTTACATTCTACTCCATTTCGCTGCAATCCATGACATTAACCCACAGTAAATTATATATAACAAATATATATTGTGTTCCTATATATTTGAGCACTTTATTTTTTTTTGTATCTATTTTAGACTTTAAGAACACTGATCTATTAGTAACTCGGATATTTCTGCCACTCATGTGGCCTTCATCAGTGAGATAATGGAAAACCTAGATGTGTATAAGAGACAGGTGTAGAACCCTCCTTAGAAGATAATGTATAAATCGAACAGAAAAAAATACAGTCCTCAAATCTATAGGAACGTAATGTTATATAGTTGATTATAGGAATTGCACCCGCAACTTCTCGCTATCACAGAGGCCCACACTATATCGTCACGGATCTAAGATCACTCAAGTTCTATGAATAGAGGGAGACTAGTAGTCTTAGATCTGTTATAATATCGTACGGGCCTCTGTAGTTTAAACAATATGACGCTCGCCTCATTGTGCGATTAACATCATGCAATACTGTTAAAAAATGTTGAGATATTGAAATTTCATTCATCATGATTCAAGAAAAGTAAATTAAGATTGATGGGGTACTGTCAATAAAAATAGAAAATGTATCAACATAATAATGTAAAAATAGACCAAGTAAATATATAAATTATTAAGCTTAATTTAGATTTAAAATAGTATTGGATCTAACCCGATTAAGCCTACGTAGGACCTAAATAATGTGATTTCCTTTCGTTAAAGTCTGACACTCCCTGAAAATAATGAAATCATAACTAAGTTCATCACCATTAAAGTTTAATAACCATTTAATATTACCGGTATATGACCTTTAATCGATCATTATGGTATATCTGCATAATGAACGACCTTTAATCGATTGTTTAAAAATGAATTGTTAATTTCAAGAAGAATGGACATACTTAATATGCAATACGATTATAACATTAAGCCGAGAAAAACAAAGGTCATAAAGCGTTCTATGTATAGATTGGCGGATACATTAACCTTATACCGAAACACCATGTTTTACTTTTAAGGAAAATACACAATACTTTTGTTGACGAAACAACCCAACACAAACAGATCGATATATTGGCGCGAACTAATATTATTTCTTTCGTGGAGTCAGTGGAAACGTCTTATAACTGTCTGGCAAAGGCATGACAACGAGCAATCTTGGAAATGCTAAGGCTAGTTTGGATATTTCTAGCTACGGTGCCCGCCGTAAGATCAGGTAGGTAATATTTGCAATAATTGGTATAATAAGTTTGTCTCAATTGCAGAATAAAGTTAAATTTAGTGTTTTTTTCTGTTTCGTATAAGTAGCCCACCTTTATTCATATATTTCATTTATGCATAAGATACGAAACAAGATGTACAAATAAAATATAATAAAACTAAAATATAATAATAATATTGACAATCGACTGTATTTCCTTTAACACTTTTGTCCGTCATTTACATTTAATGCCTAGATGTGTAAGTAGTGTGTTTTAAGATTCTTATTTTTTTTATCTGTACAATAAGTATACTGTAATAATAAAAATGTAACTTTTTTATCATTAAATTCTTTCAATACAAAATGCTAATATATAATTCCATTTCTTTTTGCTCTTCCTGTTCCTATACAAAATAATAGCAGTTTATAGTGCTTTTGAATATGATGCTAAACAAATTCCATGGGTTTCTTCACACTTTGTATAAATCTACTAAAGGTTTTGTTTATAAATGGTAAATAATTTTCTGATTCTTATCTCATTTATGTATTCGGTACTGTACTAAACACATTTTATATGTAATTCATTGGATATAGTCCTAATCATTGTATACATTTTCCCATACATTTTGGACATACATGTAATCACATGTTTACCATCTTTATGTTTCCATCATGTATTGCATAACCCTTTTAGTTTCCCATAAAATAACATTTTATTTTTTTTGGAATGATTTTTATGAAGAAATTTGTAATTAACTGAAGCGTCATTGAATTCAAGTTCCCATTTCTTTTATGATGGCTTGCCAATAAATATCTTTTTAAGACATAAACATACCTTCAATTAGTTTTCACAACCTTTTTGTATAAACCTGGATTTGTATTTAGGCCTATATTTTCATTGATATTTAAATTGATAACGTTCACCCAATTATCTAGGATGGCGTTAAGCAGTGGATATTCGCTTATCCAATTACTTTTTATCAAACATTTTTTCTATAGTAATAATATTTATTTGGAGTTTTACATCAGTGGCACACATGGAAAAATAAATTCGCGTCCAAAACAAATGATTACAAGATACATCAAATTAAGAGAACCACTAAAACTTAAAACCAACTGAAAACAGTTTAAGTTAATCCTTCTTCTTTCCCCATCCTTCCTTGATAGTTCGAAGTTTACCCCTTCCCACTAAATACAACTGTACTTACTGTAACGATTATTTTAAAAGCAATACAAAATTCTACGTACCCTCTTCTCTCCCTAAACAATGCAATCCTTTATCAATTCCTCCTTAAACAATATAAAACCTGAACATCAACATTAACATCAAAACAATAATGCAGAAAAAAAAATAAAATAAAACTACTAAACTGAAAATTATATTGGATGTTAATATACGATTTACAACAACATTATATTTAATTTTTAAACTAGATCTTAAACCTTAAAAATTAATTAAATTAAAACAAAAAAATGAAAAAATTTAAATCAGAAAATTTTATAAAAATAATGATTTAAGGAAAACAAATAATTAGTTAACAAAATGAAAAAAACTAAATTAACTAAACACAATTGAACAGAAAAAATAATTAATCTAGAGAATTAAAGGACACATCAAAGACATTAAAAAAATATTGAAAAAAAAAGGAAAAAAGGCCAATGAAAGAAAAGAAAAGCAAAATAAGGAGAAATAATTAACTAAAAGTAACAAAAATAATAATATTTTGAAATAAACTGATTTATAAAAGATAAATAATTTACTTTACAAAAATCAAGATTAAAAATAAATAATGCAAAAACAAACAAACAAACACACATACAAAAAAAAAAACGGCCACAGAGAAAATTACACAAGATTGCTCTGATTACATTTAAATAAAACTTAGGCACATTTTTATTGATTGGCATTTAAAATGCATTAACATTACACATGTTAAACAACAAATTTTCTTTGGCCTTGAATCCGCCACTGACAATATTGATGATTTGGTATACAGTCTGTATTCTCATATTCAAATAAGGGCTTTGATTCTGTAGCATGTATGCAAATAATAGTAATAATAATAATAATAGTATGGAAAAGAAATACCGGCATTGCAATTTATTATAATGTTAATGTAATGTTAGTAGGATTTGATATACTAAAATGTTAATATGTTTAAAAAGAAAATAAATGAGGTGATAAGAAAGAAAAAAATTCTAAAATGATACAACATTAATTTAACAGTCCTATTTTAACCAAGGAAACTAGACAGACATATCAGTCGAGAAAATACTGAACAAACAAAAAACGATATGTAAAATGTTGTGGTGTTGTACATTCTTGAAATAATATAAAGAATTTATGTACATTAATTGAAATTTTTTTCAATTAAACGTTATATTGTCATTTGTACATTCTAACATCAATTAAGGATAATGAACCCTTTAGCTAAATTCCTAATGTCCTACATACAAGAACGTAAAAGTACGTAATCTTGATGTTTGTTGAGACATACGCGTATTATTGGTTCAACAATAACATGTACTGATTGCTAAGTTGTTTGATTGACAGCCTGAAAAAATACATTGTTATTGACAATAATTTTGCCGACCTAATGTTTTTTGAATAAATGTTCTATGATCACAAGTTAACAGTAATGAATAGGTTTAGAATAAACGTAAATTTAAAAATAAAAGAGGGAATATTGATTTACATAATTACCACTATTTTGTATTTATTTCATAAGATGCACCTAATAACGAGGCTTTGCTGTTAGGGAAACTACTGGAAAACTACACTCAGCCAACAGCTAGACCGGTCTTAAATGACTCCGATGCTGTCATCGTGACGTATCGCTACATAGTTACACAAGTTATTGATTTGGTGAGTCCATGGATGTATAGTGAATCATACACTATCAATACAATTCATGATGTCAAAATAAAACATAGTAAGCCTATATATCAATCATGCTATAATAACATGCTTATAATTGGCTAGTGTATGCCAGGCATATATGTACAGAAACTGTACTTAAACGTTATGGTTTCATCGAAAATACTGTATAATAGCACCGACGGGAATTGAACCTGCAACGTCTCACAGTCACATTAAGTGTAGTGGCGTATAGGAGTCTTGAAATAGGGTGGGTGAAGGTGGAATAGTGGGGCTGGGGGCGATGATTAAATGAGGGGCCATTAGGTAGGAAAATAAGGTGACATGAGGTGATTTTAACTACTTGAGAGTGATATTTTTGCTTCAGCCAATTCCAATGAGGAAGCTCTTTTTTAGGGAAGGGGACGTGCCTCATTACGCCACTGATTAAGTGGCATGCCGCTAAACCGCTGAAGCCTGTTACTATCACAGCTTCAATCCAGGCAGACCACCCCCATACAATCGAGTAATTCAAATTGTGGAGCTGTTGTAACCCAGAAAAAGCATCGAGCGTCGTAACAAACGTTTTATTAATCATTACTGTGTAGCACTGTGGAATTATATATTCATCAAAGAAAGGTAAATACAGTGTTCGAATAAAGAATATGATAATACATCGTGTAGCATAGCTCTCAACGAATATTGTCCTATAAATAAATGAATATAAATATAAATATAAAATAATTTGATAAAATATGATTTATATATAATTTAACAGC